TTAATTCCAGAGATCCCAGTTTAGGCTTTCTGCAGGAGGAGGGAAGGTAAACACTTGGGTGGAACTACCACAGGGGAGTGTTCTTCCTTTACTAGAAGAGGGGGCACCAAAGACCTGGCTGGTGGTGCTTTGTTTCCTGTGAGGCATCAGGTGTAGAGCAGCTTCCCTGGCTCGTGCTGTCACAGCTGAAAATGTGACATGCCTTTTTCTACAGGGGTACTGATGAGCTTCTGGGAGTGATGGACAAAGTCACCATCGTCAACTCCACCCTGGGAAAAGCTCTTGGAGGAGCTGCAGGTGAAGATGTTTTCCTGTCCAAGATCCTCCATGCCATAAGGAGCTCCACAGCATTATTTAGATGTTTCCTTCCTCTGCCTAATGATAGACCAACAAATGCATGTTGTCCTCTTCTACTGGTGGCTTGAGGCTCAGTTTGGGACCCTGCTGCAGAGTCAAGGGAGGTCCTGCCACATGCCTCTTCCACTGTCATCTTCTCCATGCATTTTCCTTTGGGGTCAAGGTGGAAACTCTTGGTAAAAGGCACCAGCTGTGATTTTTTTTAGGCCTGGTTTCACTGAAATTCCTGCTGTAGGTGCCGGGTTGGCTTTATCGAGGGGCCCCCATCTGAACAGGTCCCCCTGGGATGCCTTGTTCATTTCTCTTTCCTCCATCTGCAGGTGGATACACAACTGGCCCCAAACCCCTCATCGATTTGCTCCGCCAGCGTTCCCGCCCTTATCTCTTCTCCAACAGCCTGCCCCCTGCTGTGGTGGGCTGTGCGTCCAAGGCCCTGGACCTGCTCATGGAGAGCAATGCCATTGCACAGTCCATGGCTGCCAAGACCCAGCGGTGAGGGGCCATACTGGTGTGGGAACAGGGGGAGACATTTGTTAGGAATGAGTTGTCCACCTGTGTTTATTCACTTCCCCCAGCCCTGGTGATAGCCACAAAGGCAATTTGCAAGTCATAGCCAGGGGGTGCTCAGGGGAAACCATACGACGTGCGTCTGGGTGTCAGACAGATGTGTGGGCAGATGTCACATCTGGATGCTTTGCATGCTGGGATACATCTGCCCCCCAAGCAGCTGCAGTTCTATGGAGCAGGAAATGGCAGAAGGTCACTTCAAAAAGAGATCCTTTCCCTGTGCAAAAGATGCAGGTGGAGCAGAACCACACTCAGCCCTCAGTGGCCAGGCCACCTGGGAGAAAGCAAGGCAGCAGTCCTCAAGGACAGGGGTGACAAGGTTTTACTCATCCTGTTATTCTCTTCACCAGGTTCAGAAGCAAGATGACGGCAGCTGGCTTCACCATCTCGGGGAAAGACCACCCCATCTGTCCTGTCATGCTTGGGGATGCTCGGCTGGCTGCAGTCATGGCTGAGGACATGCTGAACAGAGGTGAACTGAGGAGGGAGCTCTGGATGCAAAAAATGCCTTGAGGGAAGGAACAGCCAGTGGTGGTGCCACCACCATCCTTTCTCCAGAGGATGTTCCTGCATGAAATCTGTCATTTCTATACCCTTCAGCTGTAAATGTCCTCCTGGTTGCCCAGATGTTGGTTGCTTCACTTTCTCTTTTTGGGGGGTTTACTGAGCCCTCTTGTCCTGCCATGCTTCACTCCATCCCCATCACTGGCCCTAACCCTCATTTCTATGCTTGGGAGCAGAGCCACTTGAAAACCCTGAAGCCTGGAAATGCTTATTGAGAGGGAAGAGAGGATCTGAAAGCCTTTCTATCACCCACTACCACCTCTGCCTCCCTCTGTCCCAGCCAGCTCTGACTCTGTGTATTTTCTCCCCAGGCATTTATGTCATTGGCTTCAGCTACCCCGTGGTCCCCAAGGGAAAGGCCCGCATCCGGGTCCAGATCTCAGCTGTGCACAGTGATGAGGATATTGACCGCTGTGTGGAAGCCTTCACTGAGGTGGGACGGAAACACGGAGCACTGCCTTGAGGGGCCAGTGAACACCTCCTCCAGTGCTCTTCCTGCCTACGACCTGTGCCAGAGGAAAAGGATTGAGCAGCATGCTGCCGAAAGCAGGACCGGTCCTCAAGACATTGCAGCCTGTGGAAGGCTGTGGCTGTTGGCAGCATGCTGGCAGGAGCACTGGCAATTGTGCATTAAAGGTGTCCTTCAGTGCCACGGATATTTGTCTGGCTCTTGTTTTCTCATCCAGGAGCTGCAATCAATCCTCATCCTGTCTTGCTGTGACTGGACACTCTGCTGTGTAGTCCTTGAAGCTCCAGTCTGGGCACTGAAGCATGGCAGCTCCTGCTCTCCTGCTGATGGTTGCTGGTATGTCCGAGGTTGCCTGCTTCTTCCACCTCTCCTCCAGGTTCAGCAGCATCACCCCAGCAGATCCATCTGCTGTAATTCCCCACAGAGGCAGAGGGAGTTTCCCAAACTCTTAGCAACCTGTGTCACTGGCAGCTGGTTTGGGAAAGAGGTCATGGGCCAGCCAAAGCTCCCATCTTCCTTTCTCCCCTTCCATTCTTGGGTGTTGGGTGTGAGGCTTGCTTGATCCCTAGGGCTGTCTCTAAGGCTTTGCCCATCACTGCAGTGCTCCCAAACCTGCCCTGGGAGGTGCTTCTTGCCCCAGAGAGGCCATCAGGCAGCAGGTAAGCAGAGGAGGCAGAGGCCAGCAGTATGGCAAGAGGGCTGAGGTTGAGACTAGGGGCAGAGGAGATGACAGAAACTTGTGATTTTCCTCCGTAAACTGCAGTTTTCACACAGCAGAGAACACACAGCAGGCTGGGATCTCTGGATTTGTTCTTCCAAGCCTTGCTGGTTACTGATTTAGCACCCAAGCAGGAATAAGTGGTTCCCGGTCATCTCTCAGGATGACTTTGTTTGCATCGGTTTTCCTCTGGATGACAAATCATGTGTGTCCTGCCATCTGCCCATGTGCTGAACTGAGCACCAGCTGCCTGCAGCTGGGATCAGGCTCCAGCTGCAGTCAGGGTGCGCTGTGCTTTGCTTGGGTGCTGGAGCACAGGGTCACGTCAGCAAAGACCTTCTCTGAAAACACTACTTGCTGTTAGGCAGTCAGGGAGCAAACTACAGGGTGATAACATGTCTGACCTGAACCAGAGCAGCTGCAGAAGAATACAAAAGTTAATCCAGGGTTGCAGGGATTTATGGGATGCAGAGAGCAGAGGAGAAATGTGTTTTTCATAGGGCTGCCAACAGAACTTGTTAGAGCACCTGGTTGTGTAACTGTGTGCTGAATTTTATTTAATTTTCCATCTTCACAGGGCCCTGAGCTCAGCCTGCTGATAAAGTATGATATGGAGCACCCTTTTGTGTGGTGCCAGGCCCTCACGGTGCTGCAAATTCTTTCCCCCTTACCAAACGGCAATATTTTGGTAATGGGGAATGTAATGGGGAAATGTTAGGGGGTTACACTCAGGCCTCTTTTGCAACCTGGAATAGATGAAGCTTCAGCCAGATGGGCTCTGGTATAGAGGGTTAGAGCCCACAAACTGAATCACTGCTGTTCTGAGCCCAGAGCACATGCACCCCCTTGCTCCCCTCTACTTGCACACCTCCATTGCACGTCTGTACCATGCTCCTCCCCTATCTCTGTCCTGCTGGTCCCCAGCCCAGGCCTCTCCCTCTCTGGGCTTCTGCAGGCAGCCCTGCCAGTGTCTCTGCTCCGCTCAGGGCAACCAACTCAAGCAATTAAACCCTGCTCCATCCTTCAAGCCCTCCTTCACTGGGACAGCAGTCATACACAGACTACTTCCTACTCAGCCACAAGCAAGAGCAGCAGCAGACTCCCTCCTCTGCGATGCACACACTTGCCCTTGTGTACACACATACACTTCCCCCTTCTCTTCCTCCTTCTCCTATCCTCACCAGGCTCCCTGACCTCCCTATCTCCTCTGTCTCTCCCATGCCCCTTGACAGCCAACCCACCATGCTCCATCTGCTTCTCCACCTGCTTCAAGGCCGAGTTCTGCAGCAAACTGCAGTTTGCACGGCAGCACGAGGGACTGCTGGAGCCCAGGGAAGGCAGGAGGGATTCTGGAAATGAATAATGCAGGACCCATCGACTGCAGGCATCGTGTTAATATTGCATTCTCAGGCAAAGCCTCCGGCTCTTTATTTCTTTAAGGCTACACAGTCTAGGTCTGATCTAAGCTCTTTGCAGTTTTTAGCCCAGAAAGCCGTGGACTTTTTTCTCAGTGTAATGTAGAGGCAGATGGCACTTTCTGAGGATGCAGTTCCCACCCCAGGTTTACTGACCAACCCCAGACCCCATACATTGCTCTGCCAGGCTTCCTTCTGGGTCTTGAGCCATCACCCTCTACACCATGTGGGATAGATGTGGAATCTCTGTATCTCATGTGTTATACCTCAGAATAGGGGACTGTCCTATCCCGTCCTGTTTCAATACACCCACTCCCCAGATTATTCCAGCCCTGGGTCACTGCCCAACCCCTATTTGGGCACCACCACCCATACCAAACCTGCACCCCTTCCCACTGACACCCTCCAGCCTCAACCCACACTGCTGTTTCCACTCTGAGCTGCAACCCACCTCCCTCTACTCCTTCCCTGCCGGCATCCCTCTGCCCTTGCTCCCTGCCTGCAGCCCTGCCCAGGCAGGCAGGGAGGCCCCAGCTTAGACTGAGCCCACTGGAGCTGATGCAGACAGGGTCTGAACCTGCTGTCAGGTGCTGTGATTTTCCATCCTGCATCCTTTGTTGGAGATGAACGTTACACAAGGGCCTCTGCTGGTGCTAATGCTTCCCTGAGCTGGTAGGTGAGGGGTGAAGCAGTTGCATCCCCCTGCCCAGGGGGCTTCAGCAAGTAACAGCAATGACCCCAGCCGATCCCCACTTCCTTTCTGGAGGTTTATTTCTCTGTCTGGAGGATTATCTCCCAGGGTCTCCAGCCCCAAGGGTGAGTCCAGGAAGCTGCCCACCTTTTCAGGCCATTTGGCTGCAAGAATAGGTGCCAGGGGGCCCCTCTGCAGCCCCCCACAGCCCCTTCTGTGTCAGAAGCACTTGCAGGCAGCCACGATGGGGTAAGGGATCTGTTGTCAGGTGCAGTGTGGGGAGCCGGAGGGCCCAGCAGTGCCAGGCCAGCAGCTTGATCTGGGTGATCTGTGCGGGGCAGCAGGCCATGCCAGGAGGCCAGGAGCAGCTGGGGAGGCTGGTCTCGCAGGCAGTGTGGGGCCAGAAGATGGGTCCCAGGTCCATCCAGGTGAGGCAGCAGGTGGCCCACTCCACCAGCCACCACCACAGGTGAAGGGCCAGGTCCCCCAGCAGCTCAGGGGGCAGCTCCAGGTCGGGGGCAGTAGGTTGGGTAGCTCCAGCCCCTTTGCCTCCCACCACAGCTTGCAGCAGTAGCACCTGGTGCCCTCTGCCAGGTCCTGGCTCAGGGACTCCAGGTTCTCCTCGAGGACACTGCCATTGTGGACCTGGGGCTCCTTGGTCATCATCTAGAAGGGGTCAGAGCCTGAGCCCAGAAGCCAGTGCAGCCACCTGGGCTGCAGTTGCCAGGGCTTGGGGGAGTAGTCCTCAGGGGAGAGCGAGAAGCTGTAGGGCTGTACCAGGGCTGAGGGACGGCCATGCAGCAGGTGGGCAGTGGGGTCAGCAGTGCCGGATGGTGGTGGCATTGGCTGCTGAGGTTCCTCTGGAGGTGGCAGCAGGCCCAGGGCACCTGGTGGTGGGAGCAGGCAGAGGAAGAGGAGGAGAAGGAGGAGGGTGTGCTCCCTCTGTGGTGAGCAGTGCTGTGACAGGCAATGAGTGCCAGGCTGCAGGCTTGCACTCTGCTGCATCCCCTGGGTTATCACCATGTCGCAAGGCATGGCCTTTCCCTTTTTCCTTGTTACCACGGCTCATAGCGAATTGGTGGGGACATCTTGCTCCCTCCCACCAGCAGGGCAGGTGGGGAGGAGAGGCCGCACCATGCTGATGGGACATTGTGGATGCTGTGGAGGGGAATGGGCCAGCACCACCTCTTTGTCCTCCTCATCTTTCTCCATCACTGGAAGAGGCGTCCAGGACCTTCCCAGAAAAGGGAAGCTGGTGGCCTTTGGGTCTTTCTGGGAAAGGGCCACCAAGCTGCACTTGGCCTCAGTGCACCTGGAAGTCCACAGGGAATGGGTCACATCGTGCAAGTGGACATGGCGGCAGGGCAGGAGGGCTGTGTGGTCACTGTTAGCTCTCAGCACAACAGCCAGCGCATGTGCGTCCCGAGCAGCTGTGATGGAGCTGAACCTCTGGAGATAGCCTCCCTGGGTGGCTTGTCCTCTCTCCCCACACTGCAGTGCCCGGGCAATGCTGGTGGAGGACAGATCTGGACTGGATGGAAACCAAAACCCCCTTTCCCCTCCTTCCCCGCATCAGATATTGTGAGAGAGACTTGATCTGCTCTGTGCTGTGCTACTAACAACTAATTAATAGCAGCTAGTAATAGCGATTAGTTGCTTGTGCTCCAGAGTGTTTGGACTCATATCCCAAGGACAGGGCAGAGGCCAGGCTTCCCATGGTAGGATATTCATATTCCTCACAGGTGTTGAGAAACACATCCTGAACACCCAGTGTTGAGATGTGCCTGCAAGGCTCTCCAGGGTCCATGGCACCCTGCTCCCTTCCATCCTCCCTCTCCCACTGGAGAGCAGTGGGCTTTTCTTCTGCTGCTCCCTACTCACTGGAGCAGGGAGCAGCTGAGCCCTCTGGAAGGCTGGGCAGAGAGGAGTTAACTCCAAACCCAGCCTCAGGGAGAGGTTGAAAAAAACCCCAGGGATCAATGGATCAGCAGCAAGAGCAGAGGGAGGGAAAAGGGGGAGACGGAGAGAGAGGGGAGAGGAGCTCCAGAAGGAGAGACATGTGTGGCAGCCAGGAGAAGAGAGAACAGAGCTGGTGTCAGGCAGGAGGAGGCAGCCAGGAGCCAGATGATGACACTGCCCAGACAAACTCTTCAGTGGCCCATGTTCTTCTCACCACCACTGTCTGGGCTAGACTAGAGGTCTTCTCCAAGTGAGTAGCAAAGCTGCAGACCCTTCCTTGCAGAGGTGAGCACTGGCTTTCCAAGCTGAGAGATGGCCTCAGGCTCCCTGAGCAGGGACACACTGGTGCCCAGAGATGTCCCACAGTTTATGTGTGAGGTGCATGCCTAGAGAGAGACCAGGGCCTTCTGCTCGAGCGAGGAGATCCCATGGGGCCAGATTGTTACCAGTAGGACAGAGGGGACTGCAGAGCGAGAGAGGCAGGGACGACCTTTTGGTGTGATACAGAGAGGCTGCTGGGAAGGAGACGTGGTGTGAGCTGAGGGATGGGGGAGCATGGGGTGAAGGAGCTTTCATGATGCAAAAACGAGTTAATTGTGTATCAACAGTTGCTAGATAACTGTGTCTTTCCCTCTTGTTGCTGCTCAGCGAAGGATAGATTGTTCTCATGATAACACAACATGGTGAAGGCTTGTTAGGAAATAGGCTGTTGGTGCTCCCCTCCTGAGCACAGTGTTACTCAGGGCTGGAGGAAGTTTTGCAGCAAATCACAATACCTTAAGCTGCAGTAATAATATGCTCCTTCACAATGATCATCGTGTTGTGTTTCAGGCAGCTCCAAGGTCTCCCCACCATCCTCTCCTAGCTGCCACCAACCAACCTGTGACCATCTCAGCATCAGTAAAAGGTGCCCTTAGTTTCCTCTCCCCTGTGAAGCATAACTACTGCACGGGGAGCAAGGAGCAGCCAGCAAGGAGCTCCCTCAGATCCCTGCTGCCAGAGGTGGCACAGCCCTGGGATGAATGTGCCAGGACCACTCACAGCTCATGGGAGCCCCCTTCCCCTGACATGGCCTTGCAGCCAAGCCCTCTTGAACATGTTGAACACCAGCCAGGATTTAGACTTGCCAAAGCAAGTGATCCCAAGAGGTTTAAGAACTTGGGGACTGTAGGAGGAATGTTGGTGAGACCAGGCAGCAGGGCAGGATGTCCTTCAGGGAGCTGGGAGCACAGGAGGTGCCATGGTGGGGATGTGAATCTGGGCAGGAGAAAGGGGCTCCAGCTCTGCCCAAGCCAGGCAGATGTGGGTTGACTGATCTCAACAGCATTCTTGCCAACGACATCATGAGGATCTTGATGTCATCATTTAACCAGCCTGTTGGGATTGGTGTCTCTGGGAGAAACATGGGCATCAAACAAAGACTGGGATCAAGCACCTTAGGGCCAGAGCTCTGGTGGCCACTGTGGTCAACACCGACCAACACCTGCACGCCTATGGCCACGCACAGGTGCTGTGTCTCCCTTTCTCTCCATGCCAGTCCCTTCAGCCAGATGCGGAGATGCCAGGGGGATGGAATGCCTCTTCCGACAATCTGGAGCTATGACAGCAGGGATTATTGTGCCTGTCATCTTCTCCCTCATCTTCCTCCTGGGTACTGTGGGGAACAGGCTGGTGATGTCAAGTACACCACCAACAACTTCTTCCTTAATCTGGCCATGGCCAACCTGTGCTTCATCATCTGCTGTGTCCCCTTCCAGGGCACCATTTACACCCTGGATGGGTGGCTCTTTGGGGCCTTTGCCTGCAAGGATGTGCATTTCCTGATCTACCTGACCATGTATGCCAGCAGCTTCACCCTGGCTGCTGTCTCCATTTCCTTTGTCTGCTCTATTTGCTGTGTGCTGGATACAATCTCTGCCCAGAGTAGGACTTGGTGGTGGAGGCTCTATGGGCTGTTTGACTACAGTCTGGTGCTCCCAACTCACTAGCAGGGTAGCATTTGTTTTATTTGACTTTGCAGACACTGCAGAAGTATAAAGAAGAAGAAAAGCTGAAGGTTTTAAGACAGATCCTGCACTGCTGGTGTTCAAGAGAAAGTCATGGGAGAGGGAGACAGAAGCAGGGGGAAAAGGAGGGATGGTGCAGGCAATGTAAATGACAAACGTTTGGTGGGAGCCATCCACAGGGACAGAAAACATCACTGAGAAGGCAGGCAAAGTGAGGGTCTAGATGCAGAGGGCAGAAGAGAGGACAAGGGGCATGAGGGAGGTGGGAAGCGATGTGCTGGCAGAGCACCCACATTTTGGCAGGAGCATTCTTCCCAACCCAGCAGTGTCATAGTGCTCTGGAGTTGGGGGGAGCGACACTCAGCCACATTGAACCCCAGTCCCACAGCAGCTTTCTCCAGCATTTTTCTGCATCATCAAGCTGCCAGAGAAGCCCAGAAAAACACCATCCAAGCAAGGCCTTTGATCAGTGTAGCGCAAATGTGAGGGAGGGAGCCAGTGGGATTTGCATTGCTGCAATGCTGCGATTTGCCACGGTGCCTGGCAGAGCCAGGTCCAGCCACCTGGCTCACTTCACACAGCTCCAGTTTTGTCACACAGTCATGACATGAGTGGAGAGGGGTGGAGGACTATGCAGGGTACTCGGCTTCCCCACTGTGCCAAGTCTTCTGTGCCACAGGCGATTGCAGCTGCCTGGGGCCATTCTCCATGGGACAAGACAACTTTGCTATGGGGACACAATGTGTGATGCCACCTTGCTTTCAAGTGCAAGCAGGACAGATCCTTCTTTGTTTGCCAGTGCAGATGTAGCCCCTGAACCTCAGTCCTGTGGCTTGGGAGCTTTTGGTGATGCCACAGGACAAGACCAGGAAGAAACCCTAGGAATGGGACAACGTGGTATTTCTAATCCTCACTGAAGCTGTTGCACGCCTTGCTATAGCTCAGCTCCAAGGACAACTCCTTCCCTGTGCAGGAGTCAGCTGAAGCACTGAGCTGGGAATTACTTTTCTTTTTCAAGTGTTTCATGCTCTCTACACCTTGATCCTCTCTCACCTCCTATCCCTCTTACTGATTTCTCTAGCTCCTTTCCTTCATGGTGGCTGCTGCTCCTCTGCAGTCCATGCCTTTCAGAAACGTGTCTAGTGTGCTTTGCCCACCTTCCCAGGGATGGCTAGTCCTGCAGCCCCCATTTGCATGCGATGCTGTGGCTGGTAGCCAGCCCACATGGCCTTACACAGCCTCGGGGTAACACAAATGCATACATCATTTCTGTGGGTGAAGACTCATTTTGTGGTCCAAAACACTGGAGGGAGAAGGAAACAGCAGTTAGGAGCAGTGATGCGGCACAGTCAGACACTGCCTGTTCTTGCCCATGTGGCTGAGCTGCCGCTCGCCCCTATCGTGCTCCTCCTGGTCCCAGCTTGCAAAGGGAGCAGATCAGGTCGAGACTGACTGCTGCATGTTGAGGTGAAGCCTAAATAAAACAGGACAGAGAGGAGGCCTGGGGGAGAAGGTGCATTTAGCATGGCAAGTGTCTGCAAGCCCTGACTTCCATCCCTAAACTCTGCCTGGTGCTAAGCCCTGACTGGGGAGTACATGATTGCAAAGGGCAGAGGCTGAGCCTGGGTTGGGGAGGCTCAGAAGCCAGGAGGGAATTCCTGTCTGACCAGTAACAGCGTGCACACTCCCAACTGGTTTCTCAGCTCAAAGGCAGAGGTGAAGAAAAGGTCTCATGTCTTTGATAAAGAGCCAGGTTTAATTAAAACTGAAGGAGCTTGATTGCTGCTTTCCACACAGCCTCCTCTCCAGACTGATTAACATTCTGCAGTCTCACTCCCAGCTTCTCGTCTTAATTAATGACTCTTTGCTTATATTTTCTTTCCTAATTGTCATCACTCAGGCTGATGGGCTCAGATTTAACCCTGCACAGGCCAGTTTGCCACATTGGCTGAGAGCAGCTGTGCCAGCAGCTGGCACAGGGCAGAGGGAATGGAAGAGGTGAGAGCAGGTCAGGGCTTTGCACATAGTGGTTGGCACCAGCTCCCCTGCAAGCTGGGCATAGCTTCCCTCTGTGGAGCAACTTATTCCTGCCAGCCGTGTGCTGGTTCTGGTGCCTGGCACCTCCCTGGCATGCATTGCTGCAAGCCCGATGCTGCTGGGAGGTGTCAGACCTGGGTGCTGAGGAGCTCATCCTGCTTACACTCCTGTGTGCAAATCTGGCAGCCCTGATGGGACAGGGGTTCCCTGTCTGCAAGCACATGGGGCTGCGGGAGATGGAAAAGGGTTGCAAGAACAGGTCCTAATTCCCTGGCAGAGCAACATGCTCAAGTGCTGCCTGTGTTTCCCCTTGTGCTCACAGGAACAGGACCTTGTACAGACACTCTGCAAGCCGCCAGGGCAGCCTTGCAAAGGCAGATCACGGTAGGACAGCCTTGCCAGCTTGCAAGCAGAGTAGTGGTATGCCAGGTATGGACAGGGCACATACAGCACCATTAGCTATAGGGAATTATGCTTAATTGCTTTTGGGTTTAGCTGCTAGTTCCTAATCCATGACCAGACTTACCATGTTGCTAGCTGATTATTTTAATTCTTCCAACAACCACGTGTTCTCTTCCCCTCAGAGCTTTCAGAAAAAAAACACAGAGGAATGCTATTTGCTGTTATCTCCTTTTAACAGCTTCCTAATCAAAATTGCTGGCTCTTCTACCCCGTTGCCTCACGGGCCCTGAGCTGCCCAGGGATGCTCTCCCACACTGGCCAGGTATGGTGTATGAAGAAGGAAACTTTCTGCAAGCACCTTTCCTTGACGGAGGAGGAGAGATCTGTCTTGCTCATGAATGAGTGGAGGAAGCAGATGAAAGGGTGGGAGGTTTGCCAGAGATGCTTCATGGGGCTTCTCTCTTCAGCAGCACTAATAATTACAATGATGGATTGGGAGTCTGCTAGAAAGTCAAAGGTGGAGAAATTAATGGAGTTCAAGTGTTGGCATGATACTGTGGAGTTTATTTCAGCTGCTGAAGAGTTGCAAAGATTCTTGATGTCTGCACATACTGCAGCATGTGCTTTGCATTCACTTGCACTGGTGAGTGCTTAATAACATCCACGCAGCTTTGTGGGGAGGCTTTGTTCAGGGCTGTTGCTTCCGCTGTGGGTCCTCAGTGAGACACAAGCAGGTTTTGTCTTCACAGGCCTGGATGAGCCAGATCTTCAACCTGTCTTGTTTAGGTTGCATCTTACAGCGCAGCAGTGACTGTAAAGATGGGGAGGTTGCTGCTAGGGTCAGTGGCTGGGGATTGCACACGTCACTGCAGAGCTGTGCTCTGAACAAGGGGAAATGGGGTATTGTATTTGGAGGCCAGACAGCAGTAGGGGCAAGCAAGGCCTTGGGTCAAGTCCTGGTTAACATCACGGCCCCAAGGCAGAGGATGCACTGCCCTTGAGAAAGGGACCTGGAAGGCGTGTTTGATGGTGTAGCACAAGGAAAATGAGGAGGTTGGACTGAGTTTCACGGAAAAATAGATAGCTGAGGGAAACCTGTGTTGTTGTTTTCATTCTTCATTACTGCAGCAGACACCTCCGGGAGATGCATAAAGCTGCCACCAGCCTCACACCTATGGGCTGCACAGGGAGATCTGTGGCCCAGGGTGCAAGGGCATGGGGAAGAGCTGCTGGGAGAGGCTGAAGACTCTATGCCAGGAGCAGCAGAAAAAACAGTGTCAGTGAACAGCTCTAGGCACAGCATGAAGCCACATTCTCCTCCTCCCCTGGAACCTTTTATTTCCTTCTTTCTGTCCTCAGCACCTCTTTTTCTAGATACAGCTGCTGAGCACGGCAGGGTAGTCAAGGCTTTGGCATGACCAGCTGACACAAAGAAACCTAAAACTTTCCTCAGTCTGGTGCTAAACACATGACTTGGCTCTCAAGCAGCCCAGTGTTTCAGCCCTCAGGAGGAAAGCAGAACTGACTCCAGTGACTCATAGACTACGATTCCTAAATGTTGCATTTTTTCCCCACTAAAAACCAGATCCCGTTTTCTTTTTGTTATCTGGTGTTATCGCTAAAGCAGCGGCAAAGCTTCCTATAAGCCTACTGGTTTTACTTGCCTGTTCATTGTGCCAGTCTCCAGGGGATTGCCTGCCCTGCCTCATCTCCCATGGAGGGAGCAAGGCAATTGCTCCTGGCTGGCTGCAGTACCCCATTCCCCTCTGAGTGTACAGTCAGGAGCAGTTATGAAAAACTCCAGTGTCAGGCAAGGAGAAGGTCTGAAGAGCTGTGAACAAAATCACATGTACTCAAGGCTAAAAGCTTTGCTCTGAGTCCCAGCTAGGTGTATTCCTGGTTTTCAGGAAAGCTTCCAAGCTGTGTCTAGTTAGCAGACAACCTCAGCAACTAAAGTAACTGCAGTGATAAAGATCATTTCAGCTGCTTGCCCTTAGAGCACCTTAATGGTCTCCTCTGCAACAAGGCTGCTGAGTGCAGAAGGCTGACAGCTAGGTGTACATGCACACCAAGACTCAGCTGTGAAGATGGGAATAAGGTAAGTAAATACTGGACACAAAGGTCACCTGCTCCTCACACAAGAACCACCCTAGAAATTCTGTGCCCTGTTCAGATGTCCCTCTCCAGTCCCTTATACCCCTGCTGTCTCTTCACAGCACAGCCATTTTATCTGCCATGGGGCAAGGCATAAGTTCAGCTGCCTTCCCCACACCAGCTCCATACTTTTGCAGGACTGCAGACTGGATAAGGCTGCTTTTCCTCTTTGCAAAACATCCCATCTTCCAGCCTAAGCAATCCCACTGAGATTCTCTTTCCTCTATTTGTACGGTTTCACAGCAGCTGACTAGATTTGAAGTTTGGATTTCTTGGCAGTGGTAGTCAAGATCAGGAGGTGCATCAGCAACCATGTACTTCGATCTGAAAACAGACTGGTGTTTGAATTGGAACAACTTTGCATTGTCACTTCTGATTTCAGTACCAGGTATAAGTAGCAGTTACCAAGTCCAGTGCTGTGCCTGGGGCCTGGAACATATGTAAAGGAGGAGGAATGAGCCACTCTGAAAAAGAAAGAACTTGGCTGAAGACTCCAAAAAGGCTGACAGGATTTTATTGAGTTCAAAATATAAAAAGGTCAGATTGTCTCCCACCCACCCAGTATCCTTCCCATCCAGCATATTGTAATGAAGTATCAGTATTCACAGTGTCAGCTCCAGCTAAACCACAAGACCATTAGTCCCAGTCATGGCATCATGGATGAACCCATCTAAAAGTCATGCATATTTCTGGTATCTCAGCTTTGAACATAGAGGTCCACTCAGCCTCTTCCTGAACAAGAGGTCAGATATTATGAGAACATGCTGACATGAAGGTCTCTGAAACCAGTGTTGCCCAAGCTGCAGGATGGGTATTGCTACTACACTCTGTATCATTTAGGTATGGTCCCCAGGTGGGCACTTGGATTGCTATCAGGCATGTTCTTGTCACCCTGATGCTATTTGCACCCTACTGACAAGATGTATGGATCCCAAAACAAAGCTATCTACATCTTCACTAATCACAGTGGGGCAGAAGCAAGAGATCAATTAGCAACGGCAATTCCCTTCATCCTTCATAGCTGCATTACTTCAGGTTCCCAGCAGAGGTCATAACTCATTCCTCACAGCACACTTGAGGTCCTGGAGCAGCACCTCTCTGTGACAAGCAAGAAACACTATGGGCCAGCTCTGGGCTTGGCACTCCTAATCAGCAGTAAATCCACCTCCATCCCAGCCTGAACATACAGCTGAATACACACCACCTCCCGTTGCAGCTGGACCTCTTGCACAAGACTGCCAGTAACAGGAAACACAAAAGTCAGTTATGGTGGGGTTTTTTTTTTTCCAAGATGTAGATGTCTGCCTAAAACTGCGCTAGGATTAAGTCACCCCTCAAACCTTATCTTGCATCAGGGCAGGCTGTCTACCTGGGTATTTTTTTTTGCAAGTGTTTCACTGTAGTATTTAAGCACTAACTTGCATCAGTGATTTAAAAACCAGGGGCAGCGAAAGCTGTTAAGTCTAGTGATTAAAAGCTTTGTATCATATTTGCAACCAGACAGATTCTCTGCCCTCTGACCACAGGCTCTGGGGAAGGTTAGGATTAAGCGTCAGCATGTGTGTCTCAAGGCAGTATGTTTGCTCAGCTGCTAGCATGCAGAATTAAGTGTGCGTTCTTCTCACAACACAAAGCCTTCTGTTGTCCGAGGCACTCACTTTCTCCCCCATGCAACTGAGTACTGTGGAGGTGGCAAAAGGTGCCTGTTCCAAGCATTTCTGTGATGTTGGCCAGCTGCTGAGTGCACTAGTCAGGGATGGTGACTGCACGTGGCATCAGCCACCACCTACATCAAGCTGAAGTGATTAGGAGAAAGCAAAATATCTCTGGGAAGGTATAGTCTATTCAGTGCTAGCCCATCTGATAAAAAGAGCAGCTCTTTTTTTCCATAAATCTGAGCTGCAGCACTCTGTTGTCTAAAGCCTGCTGTCTCCCCATGAGGCAGCTGTGGCAGCACCAACAGGAACAGTCTGAAAACCAACGGAGAGTGGATCTGGCAGGAATGGCTGCTGGCAGCAATGTTTACTCAGCAATATGGGAAGCAAGCTTCAGCTTCCTCTTTTTCTCTCTAAGGTTTCTCCTGCTGCATCAGGAAGATGCATTTGGAAGCCCATTACCTCTTCTCCATCTTCTGCATCTGCAGGCTGAGTGACGTGAAGCTGGCCAGGAGGTCTGTAACCTCGTCCACCTGCCAGAAGAATACAGCTGGCCATTAGCCAGGGGAATGCAGCTGTGCAGTCACTCACCACCCCAGAAGAAATCCCCAAGCAGCAGGGACCACCCTTGCACCAGGACTGCCAGTAACACCCACGCTGAGCTTATACTAGGGCAGGACCCCTTTGGTCCCACAACCATGTAGAAGGGATCCCATCCTCACAATCTTAAACTAAGGCCTCCACCTCATGCGATTTAGCCAGTCCTTAAAATAGAAGCATGTTGCTGCATTACCCAGAAATCAGCAATGGCATGAAGACTGTTCCCGCCAAGCTTGTTTCTAAGGGCCAATCTTTTGTAGAAAAAAAAAAATGAACAGGCCCTGCAACCCCGTGTGGTTTTGCCAAACCCAGCCTTAAAATGCCTGTGCCCTCAACCCATCAACTTCTCTACTGAGCTGCTATTGCTTTCTGCATTTTGAATTCCAACCTTTCTAAAGGAGTACAAGTCATCACGTAACTTGCCCACTTTACCCAATGTGAGCAAGAACAGTTCCATAACCGTGTCTTTGGTGTCACCTTGCTCATCCAGTTGCATTCTCCTAAATGCAGAAGTCACAATGCAAGTAGGTGAGTCACAGTAGCTCAATGCTGCCTACCTGCTCCTTTGTGCTAGTCATCTGTAACCTGGAGCAGAGGTCATCCAACTGTTCCTTTTGCTCGTGCCTCCCCAGACGCTCCAGGTATTCCCGCAACATCTGGATAATCTGAAACCAACAGGCATAAGAGGCAACCATCAGACAGCTGCACCAAGCTGGGATGTTTTTACAAGAAAAATTAAATCGCAGTTAAATTGCCAAGCACAGCTTTGACGCTGCAGTACATGGCAGAGTACATGACCCATAAAGAAGAACACATGAAAAGCAACTGGAGAGCACTAATGGCAGCATCAGAGCCCAGTGAGTCACCAGAGGCGTTGATCAGCCACAGATGGACTAGTTGTTACCCCTGTGCCTGGTTTAAGAACAGGGAAGAGAGGCAGGCCCAGCTGAAGAAGCATAAGGTCTAGCCCTGAAAGCATCAAGCTTTTCTTCATGGCTAACTGGCTTCCCTCACTGTGAGGAGCAGGGACTCCCTACTCCAGCAGGATCCGCTTGTGCATGGAGGATGAAAATCTTTGTTTGTGGCTCCTATATGTTTCCTGAAGCAAGGCCCACAGCTTGTGCATTTGTGATGCAGCCCTGTGACTGCTTTCCTGTTCCACCTATCAGAGCAGTGCAGACTGTGCTAGGAATGCAGAGTCTCTGCATGTAAAATGCCATAGCTACAGCCCTATGCTGTGGTCCCTCTCCTGCCACAAGGCATCTGGTGACTGAAGAAAAGAGTGCTCTATACAGCCTGAGAAGACATTCAAAGCATCCTTGGCCTACCAGAGCCAAGAGAGGTCCTGCAAAAATCCATAGTAGTGATTGGGAAAAAGGAAGGTCTCTGAAAAGAGAAAAGTCAAACTCTTCCCAGAGCAGCTAAGAGGCTACTAGTTGCTAAATGATATTTGACCCTTAAAGGGTGAAGGAGACCACCTTACCAGAACATGAGACTATTTCTTTTACCTGTTTCACTTCAAGGCGTACAGCCTCCAGGCTGTGGGAGAGTCCCTCCTGCAGGATGTTCAGCTTTGATTTAGCAAGGTGCAGTGGGGTTCTGCCAGCTCGATCCAAGGCATCAACTCTGGCCCCTGCAAGATGCATGGGCAAGGACAGAAAGTGAGGTCTCTCTTCAAGACTTAGTGTCCCTGGGGAGTGTAAACAGGGGCAGGACAGGAAAGTGACAGACTGTAATCATTACAGAGGAAATGTTACCTCCACGCAGCAGTGTGGTGATGACAGGAACGTGGTTTGTGCAGGCAGCTGGGGAGGGAAAACACAGGACACACAACTCAGAGGTACTAGCAAACAACAAAGGAGTTTCTGCTCAAGCATCGAGCTTGTTGCTTCCCAAAGGGCTCTTTGCCACGGGAAACAGCCCAACTGCTAAGTGTAACTTCACATTTAAGCCTGAGTACTCTTGCTGGAACAGATCTTGCAATCCTTGGGGCTGGCAGAGAGAGGGAAACTGATTTTCTCAACCTCTGACCCTTAAACTTTTGTGAGGAGTGAAGCTAATGAAATGCAAATAGTCCCTCCTAGGCTTTAAAGCTGGGAATGCATACTGTGATGCACAGGAAAGAGGAAGGTGGAGAAGAAAGGAACAGCAAGGTGGTGTTCCCCTCACCCCTCTGCATGTAAACTTCATCTGTGTGGCACCTACCCAAGTGTAAGGGGGTGTTTCCCAGCCCATCTCTCTGGTTCGGGTCAGCCCCATGGTCCAGAAGCAGTTGCACTGGAAACAAGGAAACAGAGCCACATCAATCCCTTCCCTCTGCCCCACAGGTCAGGCCCACACGGGCTGCAGGTCCAAGTGGCAGCTACCAGGCTGCCTTATGGGTGCTTTTGTTCAGCTCATCAACTTCCTCCCGGAAACAGGGCACGGAGGTTTGCACAGCAACACAGAAGAACTCAGCACAAAGCCAGGCAGCACCGCTGTCCCTGGGCTCCCCAAAGAGAAGAACTGGGACTAAGGACACCTTTCCTTCTGCACCAGTACAGCCCTGTGTGATGGTTTTTAAGTCCTGCCAGGACCGGAGACCATGTTGCCGTTGCCCCTCCCCCACCCTTGGACACAAGTAGGGCACAAACCCCAGGTTAAAATAAGAAGAAATTTAATACAACAGTGTGATAAACAATCTGAACAACAACAGTAGCAATGATAACCACAATAAACAGCAATAACGGTAAACAAGACAAAATATTTACAGAGAAATACCGCAATGGTTACAGACAGCTCGCTCGCGACGCTCCCCGCCACTAAAGCCACAAAGGAAAGCTTCCCCGCAGGACAGTATGAATAACCCAGCTGGAGATCCCTTCCTCATCTCTGCTGGAGAAACTTAACCCTATCCTAGCTGAACCAGGACACCCTGTTGCTAGGAGCTCCTGCTCCCCCTTCAGCAGGGGGACATGGCAAGCCTGGAGCCAGAATTCAGATGGCAGCTTTGCCACAAAACACAAGGAATCCAGCAACCTTTGTCAAGTGCTGAATCAAAGAGCATCCTTTGAAATCTCTGCCACAGAGAGGTTGGAAGACAGAATTCCCCCTCCCTACTCACCGATGTGATCATTGCCATTGCAGGAGGCAAAGTGCAGGGCTGTCCGGCCTTTGTCATCCGCGGCACAGGGGTCAGTTCCATCCTCCAAGAGTTGCTGCACTGACAGTGCCAAGGAGAAGAAAGCAGGTAAGCTGAAGGGGCACATGATCAGAAAGGGGTAATGCTATCCATTCCTCAAAAGAACCAGCCTAGGCAGCGTACCCTCCACCCTCTGTTACAGCCTTCACCAGCTTCCACGTACTGCCATAAAAAATAAGCCAACAGCTGTAATGGCTAAGGCTAAGGATCCACCTAGCAAACTTTTCAGGCTCCAAGGACAATCAGAAGCAAACAGCTACAGAAGAGTATAAAAAGATAGCAAGGATGTGGGGCTCACTCTCACAGTCTTTAGTCAGCTGCATCTCTGGCACTTCTCGAGTTAGAATTAGCATCCTGTGTTTACAATCCCTCTGTGGACTTTCTCCATAGATTTCCGTAATTGTTTTCTGCATCAATGGTGGTGAGAAGTTTCACAGTGTAACCACATGCAGTAAGAAAAGCCACCTCTTCACACCTGTTTTGAATATGCCCCTTCCTAGATTTATCTGAAAATCCTAGGTTTTGCCATACTAATGGTGTCTACTGTTTGGGAAGCAGGCAGGTGAATGCACCAACCTGCCAACACAGTGTAAATGTACCTTTAGAAAATGATGTATTGAAGTGAGCTAGAACAGCCCAAGTAACCACGCCACCACCTACTCACACTTCTTCCCTCTGCTTTTCCACCCAGCTACTTCTTCAACGCCCCCTTCTGTAACCTGAACTACCTCCTTTTCTCAGATAAGAAGGAAAAACCTGCTCATACAGAAAGAGAAGCTAGTATGACTCTCCAGTATTGGGTGTCACAAAGGCAAAGCGACCAGTAAAGGCTGAAAAGCTTAGGGATATAAAAGTAGCATTTACAGCAACATGTGTAGGGGCAACCTTAAAGTCCTGTTACTGTTGTTACTCTGTTACAGTTACAGTGCAGTTATGACTGTTACTCCTGTTGTTTTGAGACTATCCTGGTATAGTAATCTGTGCGTAAAATAAAGCTCATTCTGTAGTTATTAAAAATACTGACAGATTTGCTATATTTCGAGATCTTTAACGTTTGATACTCCAGAAGAAAGACAGGGAGACTGACAATGCCACCAGTGAGAACTGTTAATGGGTAACACATTACCTAGTCCTCCCCTGAAACCAGTAGGAAATGACATAACCTCTCCCACCCAGTGCCACCACAGGAAACAGCAAAGATTCTTACTTGATGATGAATAAATTAATCATCAGACACTTCCTCAAGTTGCAGAGTACACAAAACACATCAGGATTGTAAACAGGGGAGCCTGTGTATCAAATGCAGGTGTAAAACTCTAAAATGGATTGAAACTAAGACTTTCACAAAGCCTGACTCTTTCATTCTTCCTCTTGCCTTGGTGACTAAAGCCAAGTCTTTTTCTACTGAGAGAGCTCCTCCACCAGTTCATGACACCAGGTGTTTTGTGGAGACCAAACCCCCATTCTGATATACTGGGAGTTTCTACAAGTCAAACCAGTTTCCAGTTCTGTTCACAGAGTGGCGGAATGAACAGTTAGGTTAGTACAGTTGAGGGGAGAATATAGTCTAAAGAGGCACAATGATAATGGGCAAACAACATACACCAATGTTGTTGCTGGACACCATATCAAACCCTACCTAATCTACAGTACAGAGAGGTAAAGGGAGTCACAGATAGGCCACAAGCCTTCTCTGAAGTCACTGTGACAGGCAGAGTTCAGCACTAATCCTGGTTCTGATCTACTGGGTCACACAGGTTGACAATCTTAGATGATCATCATTTCCACCTTACCAAAATACTACTTTCTTGCTGCTTACAGTCAGGCAAAAGTTACATACCAAAAAAGCTGGAACGGCAAAGTGCTGCTTTAACTTGAGGCAGTTGTCGGCGAACTAACACCATGAACCAGATGCAGTGAATACTATAATCAACCTCACCCTGCTCAGAGAATGAAACAAGGCTCCAGAAAAGCAGTTTCTTGATTTGCAGCATCTAAAGCACCATGTCTGCAAACTACCTGCACCCTCCTTCTCCTCTCCTAAAATAAATGTCCTCAACAAAACCACCCTTCCAGGAAGAGGTCCTAAGTAGGATTGGCAGAAGTCTTACCTATGTCCAAGTCATTGCTATTGGCAGCTTCACGCAGTCTTTTCAGAGCTGTGGAGGGGAAAAAAAAGGCAATTACTGGAAGGCACAGAGGAAAAAGGAGCGTTTCCCTACAGAAACACCCCATTCTGGTGATCAAGCCCAGGAGGAGGGGCCAAACCACGCTGGTGCCGGCTCAGCCCAGAGAAGGGGAAGCAGGAGATCAAGATGTCAGGTAAGAAGCACTCTCCTTGCCTCCTCCTGAGGCTCGCCACGGTCCCTCCAGTCCTGACAGGCACCCTCCCCTGGCAGGAGCAAGAGTGCCACCGAGCACATCCGACCTCAGTCCAGCGGGCCCGCACACGGGAAAGCCGAAGCTTTACCGGGTCCCCACACGGGAGCCTCTCCACCCCCCCGAGGCCTGGAAGGCAGCACGGCCGCTCCCCGCACGGGGCCGGCCTAAGAAGGGCCGTCCCAGGGAGAGGCGCTGCCCGCCACTCACCGTAGCTCTCCTTGCCTGTAGGCCCCAACCGGCGGTGGAGGCGGGCGGCCCTGCGTAGGCGGCGGGC